AAGGAAAATGATAATAACCGCAATGCATGCGATATTCAGAGACGAGTTGGGGCTGCTCCCTGTTTATCTTTTTTTTTTTTTTTTAAGAATCAATTGCGATTTTGTTTGTAGTGCAAACATCCCAAGATTTTACAGCAACGATCATTTTCCTTTGCATATATTGCTAAAAATTTTCGACGAATGAAATTCAAGACTTGTAATTACACTTCACATAGACGATGGTGTATACACATCTCGGACATGTTTTTCTAATTAGTTTCGTAACTCGAGAGTATTTGATCAATCAATCACACATTTTGATCAAGTTGAATTTGGCATCACTTATTTTGTATTTCTTTAAATTTGTCCCTCGTTGTTCAAGGCGCATCACAGTCAAGTCAGAACACCCACTATTGCGCTTGTATAAAATAAAACATCCTGAATCCCTGAACAACGCTATTTAGTTACCCGTTGTTACCTTTCAAATGGAAATTATGGCTTAAACTGAAGCAAAGCGAGAAATAATGTACTGGGGATGAACATATATCTGCTATATTAGTTTTTGACCAAGGTTGCAATTGAAACAAGGCGAAAAGAGTTTTTAATAGTAAAAGTAACAAATAAGTTTTTCTAGCCGTTTTTTAACGATGCTGGAAAATAACATGTGTGCATAGCTTTCATACAGATTTGATAATACCGTATCCGTTGGTGCTTTTCACATTTACGATTGATTTCAGTCCTTTGGTAAACGACTTCCGAGTGTTAACAGTCTCACGCAAATAGTGTTCCCAATAGGAAGCGAAAAATTAGGATGGAAAAGGTAAAACTCACCAGCCAAATTTTTTTTGGCAAAGATTCCCAAAACTAAAATGGCTGTTTTGTCTTCGGGAAGTCTGCGTTTCTTTTTCTTTTTTTTGTTTTGTTTTTTTTTTTGTTTGTTTGATTTTTTTCGTTTGTGTGGTTTTGAAAGATAAGAGAAACGAGCAGAAAAGCGTTCATTACGGATTAACAAAATCTCAGATTTCAGCCAGCGTTTGGCTCGGAAAGATGGCTAAAACAGAAAAATAAAAAAAAAATAAAAAAATGCATATCTATGGTTAATAACGTATTTCATCATTTCGTTGCGACTTGAGTCAACTGGTGGAGATAGGAGATAGAGAAGATTGCGATTTTGTCGTTTCCCTCGTTAATTATTCAATTTTTGCATCTGAAAATGTTGACAATAAACTGGCATGAGTTGTCACCTTCTTGTTCATAAACAGACTCGAGGAGAGATATTGGACTTGTAAACTTCGAAGCTGCACTTAGTATTGCACAGAAGAAACTACTGAGAACAGAAACATAATTGTGTTATCCATATTATTGAAATTTCTCGTTTGCATGTTGTTTAATACCATTTCAGAATGTAAGATATGACTTCTAGAGAAAGTATTTTAAGTTTGTTTACGATGATTGTTCGAAATGGACCATTTCCTCTTGTCATTGTCCTAAAATTACTAAGACGAAGAATCCTTTAGAGTCATACAATTACAACAGGCCAGAAGTGTTAATGACATAGAAGCAAACAATTCAATTTTCGCGAAAAATTTTCTTCTCGACAAATCAGAAAAAAAGGACAACATTTCCCACCTTCCAAAGATTTGGGCGATTCTCGATAACATTAATTTTTAAAACTCGAGAAGATATCAGATTTCATCTCAGAATTTCCCTTTTTTAGGCACGAAAAAGATGCCCGCAAATGCTAATCAAGGCAAGCCGTCATAGATTAGCCGGCAGCTTTGAGAGAAATACATCTTTATTGTAGTTAAATATTTACCTTATGACGGATTAGTGATCAGCTGCTGTAACTTGAAAGAGCGACTAACACCGTGCGACATCACACAGTAAATAAATACTAAGAAATACTGTTCATTCGCAAACAAAAGCGGCATTTTGCTTCCAAGTCAAAGGTAAGGAGCGGAAAAGCAAATTTTTCCCTAATGAGCCAACTATACTAATTATCTGCTTTGAAGGCTAAGAACGAAACAAAGAAAACTTTCTCCCAAAGGTGTCGTTAGCACCTTTTTACTAAGAGGGCTGGTCTGTTATTTTAAACCCAAGCCATTCTCTCCGAACTCTGACTAGGTTTGTAAAGTTGGTTAAATCATATGGTTAAATAGGAAACGAGTCTTTATGACGATAAACAGTAAAATTAAAAATTGCCTGACTTCGGTATTTCGTGGACAACAACGCTTTTGGGAGTCTCACGAAAACAAGATTGTATCATAGTTAGTAGAGGGGATTGTATCATAGTAGTAGTCCCTTCTACTAGCTATGATTGTATGTGATCGATGTTCGTTCACATAACATCCTTCAGTGTGCGAGTTCGAATGTTTCTTCCACTTTAAATTCCGGCCAATTGCTTTGAGCATATGTCAACTTTCATCTGAAAGTTTTAAAGCTATTTTTAATTTTGTATAAAGATGATTTAATGCACATACTAAGGTAAGTTTTACCTGTTAAGTGACCAATAGAAGTTGACATTTCGTTTTAGTAGTGCTACTTTTCAGCAGAGTACACGACAATGTAGTTGCCACTGCGATTCATCTTAACCACTTTTATTTTTATTTCATCACAGATATCTTTTGGCATCACTAAACAACATGAAAAATCAGCCCACGCCTCCAGGTAAAAATATGTAAATTCCTGTCAATTTGAACACGTGTGGAATAAAAACTCATTGCTAAGCACGTCATATTTCTTGAAGCAATTCGCTCGAACTGGTATCTTTGTTTTGAACCTTATAGTTGTTAAAATTGTTGTGTCAGACTTCCAAGAAAAAGATTTTTGATAAGGAGCAATTAAAAAACCATTAAGATAGCGGCAATACTTAAAGGATTACCGCCATTTTGCGGGCAGTTGTTTGTGGCTGCAAAAGCACGTTCCTCACTCCTTGCTCGAGCCGCTGTTTCAAAATGAAAATATAAAACGCATCCTTAAAATAAGTCATGTGTTACAAGCCTCCGCAGGAAAGTCTTAAAACAGAAGCGACACTTGATTAAAAAAATTACGTCTGAAATATACCGAGGATAAGACTGGAAGAACAGAAATCCCATAAATATCCTTCAGATCTCACCAGAATATGTTGGGAAAATTTCCTAAAAAAACCACTTAAGCAGTTAAGGAGTGGTTGCAACTGATTGTCTTCCTATTTCTAATCACGCAGTCAATTTAAAATAAGATAGTTTTGTTTGTTTGCTTTTCCTCACCCTTCTGGAGTAATAATTACGAAGCTGCCATAAATTGTTATGATAATGAAATGTTCTCCAACAGTAGCATCTAGCTATATCTTCATTAAATTTCGGTACGGATACTTTGATATTTTACAAATCGTCCCAAAAAATCGTTCCTTTCTTTTACAAAAATAATTGCGAAACTTAAATTATTTCGGATTTGCATCTACTTTGTGCATTTGGCATGTCTCTTGATTTCACCGCAACTTCTATTGCATATTGACCAAAGGCCTGAAACTGTCGGCGGACCGAAAGTAAAATTCAATCCAATTCGATCGAGACAAAACGTGTCAGAGAGTATTGATACATTTACAAGTAGGGACTAAAATCTGTCTTAAGAAATGCCTTCAGTGATTAATATTTATAATGAATGTTTTGGCCTTGGAGTTTTATTCGCGTAACTAAAGTTACGATATTTAAGGAAAATTATCTGAGTTTCATCCTTTAAATTATAGGAGGCTTTCGAAATTTTAGTCAGTGATTGGGATGAAAAAACAGAACAAAAAAAAAAGAGCCAAAAGTAAACCGGGAAAATTAAGGATGCACTCGAATATGGAACTCGATAGAAAAACCCCCCAAAGAAACGCGCTAACCGACAGGCTACCGTGTCACTGACAAAGAGATCCAGACTTCCAGTTTAGTACTCTTGAGGTATAAGGTTATTGGCGATAAAATCTGGTCAAAATTTTCATTTTTTTTTTTTTTTCTTTGCTCTCTAATTAAAGAAAACACTCAAGTTTAATTAGCCGTAAAAAAAGTGAAAATTTTTAAAATGATTGCGAGATAGGGCCAAAAGAATGTTTTGGGGAACCTGTACCGAAAAGCGAAAGGTGTCAACCGGAAAGGCCTCCGGCGGAGTGTTGACGCTTTCCGTGGGCTTTCGTCCGGGATTTCATTTGCATATTTTGTTTATAGGGCGTCTTGCACTGCATAACAAAAGGGAAATACTCAGCTGGCACATTTCGCAAAACGGCAAAACGTTGATAAATAAGAATCCATTAAAAGAAAAGTCGCGAGAGAGCCCGAGCCGAAGAAATCAAGGTTAAGTTTTCTTTTTCACTGGCTTGCTTTGCCCAATTTTCCTTCTGGTCCTTCTGTTTTTCCCGATGAAGATTTCTCGGGAACCAATAGAAATATCGAAAAAGCCTCGCACACTTTGTCACCCTATTATCTGCTGAGTGATACTGTCCATTTTGTTTGGGAGTCGGTGATAACGCAGAGGTTTGTAATTCAGTAAAGCAAACACCGTAAGTTCATTAGTGCTTAAAGGCTTGCGCGCGCCTAAGAAAACAAAAAGTGCGAAATTGAATTTGTTATTTCTAGAATGTATACTTTGAAAGCTTTTTATAGATACAGAGTTTTCCATGGTTTCTTTTAATGCTGCGCGCGTAAGACGATGATTCCTGAAGGTACTCTATTTTGTTGTCAGTAAGCTTAAAGAAAACATCTTAAAGCTACTTTGGGGAGAATTGCTGACCAGTTGCATTTCCTGATTTTATTTCTCTTTTAAAAGGTATTTCAAGAAATGCAACAGACGATGTCACTTTTGAAGGGTATTACAAATCAGTTACCGTTGGACTATTGGTTGTTTGGAGTCTCCTCCTAAGCTTTATCGCTCTCACAATTATTTTGTCAAACACAATTGTAATTGTTTCTTTCATCAAGTATGCCAAATTACGCACACGCACCAACTGCCTAATAGCAAGCCTTGCTGTGGCAGACTTATTGGTCGGTCTCGTTTCCGTTCCTGGTTGGCTAGTGCTTATTCACAAAGAAGAAAATCAGAGGTCTTCTTGGTATAGCGGTCTCATGGAAATATGGTATATCTTTGAGATCCTTAGCGGAGTGGGGTCCATATTTCATCTAATGGCTCTAAGCTGGGATCGCCTGTGCGCCATTGTATGGCCGCTGAAGCATCGTTCATACACAAAGACAAAATACCTGGTTATAATCGTCGTAGTTTGGTCAGCGGCAACCTTGGTGTCGGGACTCTCTGTAACTGGTAATAGGAATTCGCCACAAGCGTACAACATGACAGTTATTTGCCTGTGTTTCTTCCTCCCTCTTGTTCTGATCTTTGTGGCCCAAGGAATAACGCTGGTCACTATCAAACGCAACATTGCTAAATTTCACCACAACTCCAGTCTAAAGCGGGACGTTAGAGCCACTAAGACAATTCTCATTATGATAGGGTTGTTTCTGATTGCCTGGCTGCCGTTCTTTTCTTTGGGTTTGGTTCGTTTCATCCAAGACGACCACTCTGAACTACCCGCAAACGCAATCTTTGCAGTCAAACTTTTGCAATACAGTAATTCACTTTTCAATCCCATTCTGTACGGGAAAAAATTCCCGGAATTCAGAATAGCATATATAATGATTTTATGTTCTGCCAAAAATGACAGCGAAAGCACAAGGTATGCAATTTCCTCTTCCGTAAACACGAAGAAGTTCAGAACTTCCTCGTCCACTCTTAGTACGTCATTTCCCACAACACAAAGATCTCACAGATTGTTGCATGTTTTGATAAAGAAGCGTGAAGAGCAAGCAAACGTACAACAGAAAGACGAGGAATTCACTTTGATGGTCAGTGGTCTTTGACACTTCGAAAGGTTTTACTGGAAACCTTTCATGGGCTTCAAAAGACAAACTCGCACACAAAATAAACACATTAAACTGAAAATAGTTTGAGCAAGGCTTTAAAAGCCTTCATAGATTACAAAAATAATTGCCAATCACCAAATGTCACTACTTTGGGGTAACAGTTGACTTGGAATTATGTCATTTCTATCATCATGAGCTATTTGCATGGAAAAGCTAATACGTTCAAAAGTGTAGAACCTAATCTACCTAGAAAAAAGAAACACCCTTTTATCTATGCTCATTTTCTATAAACATAACTCCCTTGCTGTGAAAAGTCAATCGATTAAACAACGTTTGTGGAAAAAAAAGTATATGTAAAGGTAGCGCTTCAATCAACATCATCGCTGATGATTTTGAACATCACTTTGTATTTCCATGAAGTTTTATGAAGTACTTATTTAGCTCAGTAACACTTAGTCATTTATCTATGTTTGGATACAGCGCGCGCTGTCATTGGTTGAAAGAGCCTGCTATATCAGAGTACAAACCACGAAGCTGAGCTGAAGCGATCACGCTATCTGCCGATTGTTACTATGTCTGCCTTTCTTCGTCAATTGAAAGTGATATTTTGGAACAAGTGGGCAGGCGAGTAGCAACAGAAAACATGCCAAGCACCGTAGTTTGCATTATGGTAACGATAGCAGAAACGAAATGGACGGTCCGAATTTTGAAGGTTTTCACGCTCAGTTAGATTGTAAAAATCAAACACAGCGAATACTCGTGTAGTATAATTAGTTTCGTGTTTAAAAACAAAACGGAACAAAAAAGTGATGAAAATCTAAACAAACTGATATAACTGTTCAAATTCATACAAATTATGACGGTGTCACAGCGAATGGGATCATGTTGAGATCTATCGAGGCTAGCTCATCATGGCAATCTCCAGCCAGCACAGTGAAGCAAACCTCAGAAATTAATCGTGCGCCCTTCGAGTAAAATGAAATATGAGCTTGCTCTGATATCCTTTCCGATGCGTTGAGTTGAGGGCCACATCAGCCGACTTTTATGACACTGTCATCCCGAGCAGCTTGATATTCCTATGAATTCGGCCGCCGTTCATTCATAAAACACACTCCTTAAAGAGTTTGTTTAATAACTGTCATTTGAAAAAACGTGCGTGTTTATATGAGCCACAATTCAGGCGGATTTCACTGAACATAACAAGTGTAACACCTTCAATAGCTTCTTTGTCTCTTGTGCCGAAGATTTAAGGTCGATCCACCGATCAACCGCGCGATCCTTTTCCAAATGGCCACCGCAAATTGTCCGCCCAGAAAAATTTAATCTACGAAAGATCACCGTGACGGAAGTTAGAAAGGCTCTTAAAGATTTAAAACCGAAGAAAGCTACAGGTGTTGATGGTATTCCATCTCGTCTACTAAAAGACGGATCAGACGCCCTGGCCTATCCACTATCGCTCATTTTTAATTTAACTATCCAACAAAACGTTATCCCTGCAGAATGGAAAAAAGCGAAGGTGACCCCTTTACATAAATCAGGTTCAAAAGATGACCCAAGAAACTACCGCCCCATATCGGTATTACCAGTGGTATCTAAAGTCCTAGAGCGTTTAATCCACAAGCAGCTTGCAAGTTTTTTTGATGATCATAACTTGCTCTGTAAATTACAGTCCGGTTTTAGAAGAATGCACTCAACTGAGACGGCTGTAACTTATTTCGCCGACGAGATTCTCCTGAATATGGATAAGGGCCTTGTTACTGGTTCTGTGTTTATTGACCTGGCAAAGGCTTTCGACACAGTTGACCATGACATTTTGCTCAGAAAATTAGAGTACTATGGTATATGCGAGGAAAGCCTTCTATGGTTTAAGGACTACTTTACGGGAAGAAAGCAGTTCGTGCAAATTGATTCTCATTCATCTGAAGAGCTTGCTATAACTTCTGGAGTGCCACAAGGGTCCATCCTCGGACCCCTGTTATTCATTGTCTACATTAATGATTTACCACGTTGTGTCAAACACTGTTCTGTAAATATGTACGCTGACGACACAGTTTTATATCTTGCTGGCCCAACAGTAGACAATTTAACTTTTTACTTTAATCAAGATCTTCAATGTCTATCTGAATGGCTAGAAGACAACAATCTTGTTCTCAATGTTTCAAAAACTAAGTGTGTACTATTTACATCTCGAAGGCATAAAGAGCGCGATTGTATTTTAAATCTTAATCTTATCGGAAAGCTCATTTCTTGCGAAACTACTTTTAAATACCTAGGCGTGGTGTTCGACAATTTTATGACTTGGAAGGCTCACGCAGACNCTGGAGTAACCTTTTACAACAAGATATAGATCGACTACAGCGCTTACAAAATAGATCTGCACGGATTATTACACGTTGCTCTCGGTCATCTGAAGCAATAGATCAGCTGCAATGGCCGACTCTTTCCAGTAGACGCTATTACCACAAGGCTAAACTCGTTTTTCTCTGTCTCCACTCATTAGTTCCTAGTTACTTTTCATCATATTTTACCAGATTTTCGAATATTCACAATTATTCCACGAGGCAAAGTCTGAGGCTATCCCTACCAAAAGTAAAACAGAATTTTGGGAGAAGGACCTTTCTTTTTACTGGCGCAGAAATTTTTAATAAACTTCCTTTAAACATTGTGAAGAGTGAAAACATTCAAACGTTCTGTCGCCGAGCAAAACATTTCCTTTTACCGTAATTTTGATAATTTTGATATTTTATTTACTATGTTATGTTTTAATTGTGTTTTAGCTTTGTAGTTTTAGGCTGTTAATGTAGTTGTAAAATCTTAGTCATTATATATACATATATATCTATTCTAGAAATTTGATGTAAATTATTTTCAATACAGGGCCCCTATGGATACCAGCCTTAGAGCTGAATGGGCTACCCTGTGTAAATAAAGTTTGCTTTACTTTACTTTATTTTAACATTTCACTTTCAGACTCCTTATTTAAACTAAAAAAACTTCAGGCAAAAGTATTAATTCGACCTGCCAAACTATTTTAGTTTGTGAAATATTGCAGATCGAGAACTTTGGTTTGGCATTTTTGACAGCTTTAGTCTTGTTCAACAATCAGATTACTCGGACATTTATAACAAGGATTCTGATTGGCTTATTGTAGCCTGCTTTATGAGAGTATAGATGATGCTGACGATAATGATGTCCGCTTTGGAAATAAAAGTTTGTTTTGAAAATTGAAAGTAATGCCAGGGGAATTTAACGGATACCTTATCATAAAACAAATGGAGAAGCCTTGACTGTGTCCTTGACTGTTGTGAAGCACCCAAGAAGCGGCTAAAGCACTCAAGAGGTAGGGAGAACACTCGAAGTCCGAAGTTATTTAGGTTCAAGCTTCGCGATGAGGTTCACTTGTGAACTGAAGGATTAAAAAAGACTGAAAACTTACAAGTCGAGAGGTGCTGGTGTAAAAGCGTGTCGTGGTCTGCAGCTAGTTTCGCTATCCCTACGACCCAACTGAAGTTATCGACTTCGAAATTACTCTACCGACACTAAGAAAATGAACACCACTTCTGCTCACGAAAGAAAGTCTATCTGCTATCATGTCTAAATTCATTTGCCTACAAACTGCAATGGTACAAATATACCGTGGCTAACAGAGTCTGAATATGTTTTTAATCTAAGTGATTCATTAAGGTATCTTGACTGTAATTTTTTTTCATAATATCTCATTGCGTTTGACCGTGAAGAAGGACTTAGCCCGATTTTCGAGTAAAAATCTGTTGTGTAATGCATTTTCCGCCATTTCTTAAAATTAACATCCTGGCTTCTTCAAGCGTTCAGTTCGCAACGGGAACCCAGTGGTCAAACGTCAGGCATGCGCGACGGGATCAGTTCTGGCCGGCTGTGCACCAATTTCCGCTGGCGTAACAATTTAAATAAAAATATAGGAAACAACGGCTGAATCGCAAATAAGCGAAAGAAATTAAATGCTCATAGAAATCTTTAAAATGCCTTGCGACAGGCGCCATGATGGCAGCCACGAATTTTGCTCTCCGCAATTTGTCTAATTCTGCTGCTGTGTTCTGGTTTTTTCACAGGCAGCCCAAGCTCACTACTAGAAAAGCGGACGTGACTCTTACCGTGTTGCGCAACGTTTTATATTTATAAAGGTTTGTATGGGATGTTATCGGTTTGCCTTAAAAGAGAGAAAAACATGTCTTGTTTTGAAATAATATGGGCTTACCTTATTGCCTTGTTGTTTTCTTTGTTGATTCCTACCGTCTCAGGCCATTTTGAAGCGTTTTCGGCGAGTTAGCGCAACACGGTAAGCGTCACGTCCGCTTTTCTAGTAGTGAGCTTGGGCTGCCTGTGGTTTTTTAAGTTCATTTCACGATGTCGGTACTGTTAAGGAACGTGCTTTACAACCAGCCTTCCGTTGGATACCGAGGTTTAACTTCCGCGGAGATTTTCCGAGTTACAACCCAAGTCAACCGATCGTTAGCTGGAACAAACGCGGCTCGTTTGCCTCTTCCTGCCTTCCTCTGAACTATCTGTGTTGACGTTGAAAGAAATCCTGGTCCTTGTTGTTCTTCAGCCCATTTTACTACAAGCTCTTACAATGTTCGTGGACTTGACCTGAGACATCTGAAGCATTATCAACCTTCGTGCATATCTTACGAGAGCAACCGGCTACTGTCTCTTCGTCATTGGAGTAAGCACTACTGTTCGCCAGCATTTCTGGAGAAGTTAAAAGCTATGAATCTTTTGAGATACCGGGGGAAGCGTGCTAGTAGGTCGAAGAAACAAAAATCAACGAGAAATGGTCTTAGGATTCCTGTGATTTGTTCTGGTCGTCGCCGTTACCATGTTTCATTAAATATTCAAAATGCCACTTCAACGTTACAAATCTGTGAATCACGCCCTTTAGGTGTCAATATGAGCAACTTAATTTGTATTCGTACAGATCCATTGGAGTCTAAGTTATCGACCGTTGTACCTTTGGATTTTTGCCTTATGAATTCTCGATCTATTTGTAACAAGTCTCGGCTGATAAATGATTTATTTATTTATTTTTATTTATTACAATTTAATGGCAAAAGGATATACGTAAGTAATGAGACCCATAAGGATGGCCTACAAAAGAGTCGAGGGACCCCATACAAGGCAGGCCACCTGCCATAACCCTCCCAATAACCGCTTACGTTAAGATAAAAATTTAAATGATAAATAACATTACATTATAAATATAGATCATGCATTAATCGAGAGACCAGAGACTGACCTGCGAGTCAGGACGAAAATATAGATATAAACATAAAGATTATATCTAAAACAAGATGAAAGGAAACAATCAAACAATCACGTGGTTCTAGAAAAGAGGAAGTCTCTTACTCCCCCATAGCTGATCACAATGTCAACCTCTTTGCCCTGTCAGAGACGTGGCTTCGTGGTGATGACTCGGATTTATATTATATCCGTGACATTTGTTGAGACGGATATGTTTTCCACCATGTTTCTCGATTACGTACTACTGGTGGCGGGGTTGGCATTGTTCTCAAGAATAATATCAAGGACAAAATTCAAGCACGAGTTCTATTGCTCTTTCGTACATCTTGAGCTGGAACTCAGGGCTACAAAGTGTTTTGTCCGTTTAATTGTCTTGTACCGTCCTCCTTCACATCCGATGTGACACCGTTTTTCGATGAGTTTGCCGGTTATCCTGCCCATATAGTAACGGCATCAGGCCATTTGCTGATTGTTGGTGACTTCAACTTTCATGTTGATTCTCAAAATAGTGCTGGTCGGTGATTTATTGGCCTTCATTCATTTAACCTTCGCCAGCATGTAAGTGATTCTACACATAAGAATGGCCATACCCTTGACCTCGTTATCACTAGAGAGGAACAATCTTTCATCAAGAATCTCCCAGTCTTTGATCCTGCACTTTCTGATCATTTTATGATCCGGTGTAATCTAGATTTTTGTAAACCTGTCACTCAAGATCAAATGTTATCTTTTCGACGTTTACGTGCCATAGATATGGATAAGTTCTCCTCTGACCTGGAAGACTCCGCGCTAATTAGATCACCTCTAAATGATGACCATCCATTAGCTATTGATCAAATGGCTGACTCTCTAACTGCATTTAAAAATCAAGT